TGTGATTTCTCCGTCAAGTTGTTTGGGGTTTTTTTTCCCTTTGGAAAGACTGCTGCAGCCTTTAAGGCCAGCAGCCCCGGTCCCTGGTCGTGCCCCCAGGTGAGCATCCCTGGAGGTACGGGGTCCTCAGTGGTAGGAGCCGGCTTCTGCCCCTCCACCAGCAAATGGCCTCCTCAGTAAAACAGGCTTACTCCGCCACTCCTCTAGCTCCACAAATCACAGAATGGTTTGGGTTGGAAGGGACCTTAAAGATCATCCAGTGCCACCCCCTGCCCTGGGTAGGGACACCTCCCACCAGACCAGTTTGCTCCAAGCCCCCTCCAACCTGCCCTTGAACCCCTCCAGGGATGGGGCAGCCACAACTCCGCTGTCTCAAATGTCACTCAGGTTCCTCCCCTGGGTGATGCTCTTACTACCAGATCACCAGCTCAGGGATCCCTACCACAGGACCGTGCGCCTCAGGTTGTGCCAAGCCATCAGCAGAGCCAGAGCTCTTGGTCCCCAGAGCCTTTCCCATGTCTCCCTATCGTTTCAGAGGTTCTGGATTAGTCCCACAGGCGGTTCATGCCTTTCCAAGCAGCAGCAGATGCCTCTCTGGGCAGCCTGTTCCAGGGCTCTGTCCCTGGCTCAGCTCCTCCAGTAGCTGTTCCTCTTGTCTGCCAGCCACTTCCACAAATTGCCCCTCCGAGTCAACCGAGTCCCAAGGAGAGCAGGAGGAACAGCACCAGAGGAGCTTCCCTCAAGAGGGAAGACAGGGAGGGCTGGGGCAGAAGGTGGCAGTGGTCACTGCAGTGTCCACACACACAGGAACATAGCTGTGGGCCAGAGGCTTCATCCCTGTCACGAGGATCAGGCTGGTACCATGCCAAAGCACCCACTCCACCAGGAGAAGCCCTGGGCTGAGCTTCCCCAGCCACTGAGGTGGACCAGCAAGGCCATGGACACCAGCAAACCCTTCCCTGGCTGCAGCAGAGCCCTCTCCCCTACATCTTTTGAGCCTCTCCAGCAGTTTGTTGTGGGGGAATGCTGCTCGTCACACAGTGGTGCTGAGCATATGGCTGATGGAGCATATGGCTGATGGTTGGGAGCATAAGGGACCGCGGAGCTCATTGCTGCAGGAGAAGCGGGAGCGCTCTGGGCAGCCTGCAGCCACCAGTGTGGAGGGAAACAAACCTCCCTCCCTCCTCCCAGAGGGTCCGTGTTGCCCTGAAAACAGCAGCTGCTTTCATGAGCGCTTGCTGAGCCCCCGCTGGTCCAAGGGTCAGGGTCAGGGGACAAGGATGGGGGGAGAAACAGGATGGAGGGGCACCAGGGGCACCCTGGAGTGAGGTGCTCATCTGCAGCTGGTGGGGAACTGCTTCTTTGGCAACACACAAAACTGACACTTGAAAAACACAGTGGAAGAGCCACTGTAAAGGTCTAAAGCCCCTGCCTCAGTGAAGCTTCTGCCAGCACGAGAGCCCCAGGTCCAGCTCCGGTTTAACTCTGCAGAACCTCTGGTTTCCAAAGCACAGTGCTCCTTGGCAAGGCAACTCCATCACCTCAGTCAAAGAGCTCACTGGCTCTCTCCTCAGACAGGTATTGTCTCTACAAGATACTTCAAGTTTGGAGGCTACAATGAGCTAGAAAGAAAAAATCAGCCTGAAGGTGCAGATCTCCTTCGGGCAGAATGCAAAGCCTAGAGCAGCACTGATAAATATGAAGAAGTTTTCAATCCATTGAGCCCTTACACAGATGGATAGTGTTGGTCTGGTCCTTCTCAGACCTTCCAGGAGGCATGCCCCCAGGGTGAGCATCCCAGTGTCGGTCTGGTCCTTCTCAGACCTTCCAGGAGGCACGTTTCCATCCTCCTGCTGCCTCGGAGTGTTCCACAGCCATTGCAGGTGCACCGAGGTCCTTCCCTGCGTGTTGACACAGTAATTTAGGATTTGCAGGTGCATTGAGGATCTTGCATTCGGTCTGTGGCCAGAAACAGGAGAGGGGAAAATGTAATCCCAGCCCTGCTTCTGGGGCGCTGTCTGAAATATTATGAAAAGAAAACTGAGCTCCTTCCGTCCCCTCCTCCCACCACACACAGTGATTGCTTTCTCACTTCCACCCAGGAAAGTTCAAAGGTAGCTAATGAAGGTACCACTGCACTTTGCTGGCAATCAGCGCGCAGGAGAAAATTGCAGGAGCCGGATAAATTGGCAAGAGCCTCTCTGTCACATCTTCACGTGCCAATTACAACAAACAACTATAAAGCCTTGCTCTGCAAAACAAATTGGTATTTTGCTACCAATCTGGGAAGGTTTGACTTGCAGTTGCAGGAGCCGTGTTTTCCAAGGAAACACAGGGAGATCATTCCCATTCCTTTGAATATGAAGGTAACAGAGAAAACACAAACCATTACCCCACAAAAAAAAAAAGTCAAATTCCTATTTTTTAACTTAAATAAGTGCAACAGACCAGCAAGGTATCAACTTTACCTTCTCAGCACCATAGTAATTGGATCCACAAAACATTTTACAGGTATAAACACAAGACCTACAGATTCAAGCGACCCTCCCTTTGGCTGACCCTCTCAGAGCCACAGTGCTCTGCCTACATGCAGGAAGAACAAAGAGTTTCTACTCTAATTACTAATGAGTAGTTTGCTTTTTGCTGTTTTGCTTGTTTAGCACAAGACCACTGACTATTACGGCAGCCACATTTAACATGAGCAACCCTCCAGAAACCTGTACCCATTGCAATTTCAGAAAAAAACGTCATTTTTTAAAAGACTGTTCCAAAGGAGCAGTATCACGCTGTTCCAACCATACGAAATGACTCAGACTCTACCCTTCTCACTAACCTGAGACCTCACAAACAGAATTTCTAATGCAAAATTCCTAGGTCTGAATGCATATTTCTTGTCATCCATGCTGACATTAGGACTCAGCTCTGTTTATCTGATGCTACCGGTGCCAGATAAACAGCTTATGCTCTCACCAGCAGGAACAGTTCCTCCTGCATCACACATAGCCTGATGCTGCTCAGGAGCTTGCAGCAAGAACCTCTTCTCACCTGTGCTAGAAGCAGGGCTCAGACGCACAGAGGGGTCGGGAGAGGTGCCCAGAAGATGCAGGGTGTTCTCAGACAGCATTTGTAGGAATGGGCAGGAAGAGATTTCGCCACCCTTTATGTGTTGTCCCTGGGATGGGCAGGCAACATGATGCATCCTCCTTTCTTTTGTGGAGATCTCAGTAAACAAGCCCACTGCTTTCATTCCCATTTCATCTTCAGCTGGAGAACCTGCGTTAGATTTCATGGATTTCAGCTGCAAGAGGGTCCTCCAAATCAAAATCTGGTGCATCTCCAATTAATGTGTTTCGACTGCCAGCTGCATAGCAATACTCCCAGGGACACTTCCATTTTTCCACCCATTGCCTGCAAAGAACTGTCTGGAGATCCTAATTCTGGAAATGCTGAACTTTGAGAGCCTCAGCCGATGGGCAGCCTGGACTGGAGCTCATTTGCCCTTCCACTATGGTCACATCAGCTTTAATAGTGCAAAAACCCCATTAACCCTCTGTTCTGTCAGTTTAATGGTAAACCCCACAAGAATACTATTCTACCCCAATATTTTTGGGAGTGAGTGTGCAGTTCGCTGCTTAGGCATCATTGTTGTTTGAAAGCAAGATGATTTTATGAGCTCTGGATTGAGGCACTGGCTCCCAGACACAAATGGGTCCCACAAAACTCAGTAATTGATCAATACTGGTGAAAACTGCCTTATAAAGAGAGGTCTCAGCCTGAAGCTGGAGGATAAGGGTGCAGCAGTGGCAGCTCATGGCACAGCTGGAAGATTGGCAGTAACCTGGGGAGCCCTCATCCAGGAATACTTTTGTCTTTTGTACTTATAATTTCTGTTTTGGATTTGTGTATATTTCTAGTTACTTTCATGTCATGCTACAGGTTTCTAACAATTTGTCTTTAGTAGAACTTCAAAACATCAGCTGGACTTGCGTTTTAAAGTCGGATGCAGATTGCCAACACAAACTACACTTTCATGCTGACTTCTCCCTGAATCCCCCACTTCAAAAAACAGTAGCTCAGTGCTGCTGTAAATTTCCTTTAAAATCCATAAAAACATAAAAATCCAGGTTGGAGAAAGGAAACCAAAAGCACTATGTAGCCCTTCAGAAATAAAGTCAGAACTAAAACCACATCTAAGCGTACGAAATTAAGTCAAAAGGCTGCCAATGTTCATGAAATTGGCTTGGAGTCACGGGAGCTGAAAAACACAATAATAACCCCCAGGACTTTCTGTTTTCTTTCTGGAATATAAAGTGTCAAGGTTTGTGCTTTAAAGCTTGATGCTACGAACAGAGGGTTTGCTTTGGATTTAGAGCAACCTCTGAAAAGCCCTGTTGGGGTTGCATTTTGAATTTCTGGCTGGGGCTGAGCATCCCCCCCGTCCCCGTCCCCTTCCCTCCATGTCACACACCACACACCTGCCCCAGCCACCGCCATGGGAGAGGATGCCCGAGTCTGGTCCACGAAGAAAAGGTATTTCTCGACAGAATAAGAATTCCAGGCACCTTTCCACGCAGCCAAAGGTCTCTGCGGGGTTTAGAAGACCTTTGCTTTCAGCGTGCGCAGAGGGAGAGACGGCTGCTCTCCTGAGGTTTTTATCATCCCAGTAAAGCACAAGAGAAAGGGAAGTGTTCTTGTCCCCATTTACGAGTGAAAAAGTGGAAAAGGAGAGGCTGAAGGACAAGCAGGGCTGTTTCAGGAGAGGAGGAGCTGGCAGCTCCAGAGGCTGGGTGCTGGTGGAGCCTGTTCTCCAGCAGCAGTGCATGGCGGGGGCTGCAGGAGAGCAAACCCCACCGCCACCGCAGAGCAAAGCCCCGTGCCTGGGCAAGCAGGGTGGGACAGAGGACTGTGACCTGCAGACAGAGGGAATGAGGGTGACTTCAGTGACTACATAGGGCTGTTCCTTTTTTTTTTTAATTATTTTTTTTCTGCTTTATGTGGGTTTATTCCTTTTGACACCTTGCAGCTCAATTTTTCCTTTGCTGTGATTTTTGTCTTTGCTTTTCTTCACTTTTCCTGTCCCGTCCCAGATGATGGTTTCAGTACCTCATGGCCCCACAGATTTTCGTTGCCCGGTTCCTCTTCAAGCCTCTGCAACCCAGAGCCCAGCCACCCTTCACAGCTGGGGGTCACACTGGGGTTCCTTTGGCTGTTCCCCATCAGTTGTGGCCAGACAGTTGGCTGCTGCGTGAGGAGGTTCTCCGACGAGGTTCTGGCACCTCCAGCTCTGATGGGCGCTTCTGGGGTTCACCCCCCTCCTGCTGCCCCAAGCTGCTGCCCCCCCGTCCCCTCTGCTCCTGCACCCCGCTGTTGCTCTTCCGCAGGGCAGAGATGCTGGTCTGCTGGCTTTTGTCCCGCAGCAATTTGCCCGTTCGCCTCCTGACCCAGAGTCCTTCATCCAGAGTAATAACACTGTGGGTCTGCTGAGCCTCGTGAACCATTTCCACGGCTACGGCCATGCTCAGTAGACCCCCAGGTCTTTGGGAGGCAGCTGGGAGCTCTGAGGCAGCTTCCCCACCTCTGTCTGTCCCACCACTGTGCCAGGACCCTTGTCCCACCACCTTCAGCTTTTCTGTGTCTGCTCCACCGCTCTCCTTGGGGATGCTGGTCACCCCTTCGCTTTGGGATGGCTGTCCTGGAGGGTGCTGAGATGTTTTGTGGATGCTCTGGATCACAGTCTTACCAGTTTCCTCATCACAGCTGATCAGAATTCTCCCTGTTCTGCCCGTCCAGGTCCCTCCTTCTTGAGAGAAGAGGTTGAAGGTCTGCCACGCTTCCCCTTGCTTAGCCATGGAGCCCTGGGACAGCTGCAAGGTGCCACCTTCGACTCTTTCCTGACTTCTCTTCCTCCAAGGTTTAGCCGCTTGCTCCTCCACCAAAACCTCTATCCCCTGGAGGTTCTTGCACTGCAGCTGGAGCACCAGCAGCAGGCCACCATGAGAGGGTTTCTCAGATAGCTCCAGTTTCTTTTCTCCAGGCTGCTGGGGCTGAGACTGCTGCTCTGGTGGTACCTTCTGGCCGCTGTGCCGTGACTCCTGCCCAAATGTCTGCTGGCTGCCCCACCACGAGTCCCTCCCCAACGAGTGCTGGCTGCTCCAACACAAGTCCTGCCCTGATACCTTCTGGCTGCCATGCCACGACGCCGGCGCTGGGGACTGCTGGCCACCAGGCAGGGAATCCCACCCCAGCACCTTCTCGCTGCCGCACCACGATCCCTGCCCTGGTGCCAGCTGGCTGCCACGCCGCGACTCCTGCCTTGCTGGCTGGCTCCTTGTTTCGAGGCAGATATCTGAGATTTCCTTTCCCACCCCTTTCACCGACCTGGTCTCTGCACCGATGCTGGTGGCAGATTTCTGAGCGGGGGACCTCGGGTTTTCCGCCTTCTGGCTCCACACTCGGCTCGTCTGCTGGCTCCTGTTGGTCACAGTTCTGGTGGTCCTTCTGCTGATCCAGATGGCCCCCTCCTCAGGGCTGTAGGCGGTGCCCTGGGCTCGCTCCGCTCTCTCCATGGAGTCCACACTGAGCTGGGAGTCCCAGCGCTGGGGCTGCCACCCGCTCTGCCAGGGCTGGTCCCCCGGGCAGGGCTCCATCCCCAGGGACTGCCAGCTGCCCCCGCTGGAGACCCGCTGCCAGCTGTGGCAGGAGTCCCGCTGTTGGGAAAGGCTGCTGGGATGCTGAGCCATGCCACCCACCCTACCCTGCGAGCCCCCGCTCCCCTGGGCCTCTTGCACCCCCGGCTCTGGGTTGTCACCTGCTGGTTCTGGTCCCACGAGGTGTTGGCTGCCCTGATGGTGCTCCTGTCCCCACGTCTGCCGGCTGCTAGTCCCTGACACTTGACACTCTACTGAAGACATTTCAGGAAGCATGGCTGAAATTTCCTCTTCCACCCTGTTTTCTGCTTTATTCTCTGTATTGACGCTGACGCAGGGGACTTTGAGGTTTCTTGCAGAGACGTCTTGCTCCAAAGGTGGCTCCTGTCTGACACCTCCTTGCTGGCCTGAGGGCTGATGTGGGCAGGACGGGCTCTCTCGTGTCCACCAAGGGTCAGGAAGGTCTGGCTGCTCACCCCCTCGCCCCCCAGCAGCTCTGCCTGGGGCATGGCGGCCGGATTCTCCCCATGGCAGGGGCTCACCAGGCAGCTGGTGGTGACATGGGGCAGGGTGGTGGTGGTGGTGTGGGACGGGAGGGTTCCTCTGCCCACCCCTGCTCTCTGGAAGCCCCTACCACTGTGAGGTCACCAACCAGACCCACTGCTGCCTGGTGTGTGTGTGTGTCCCAGCCCCACTGCTACTCCCAGACCATGCCCACAGCCCCACAGATGACCCACGAGCTGGTCCCCACCATACTGCCACACGGCCACACAACTCCCTCTGGCCTGACCCCTCTCACCCTTTGCTGCCCCACAGCTGCCATCCCCATCCCACTCCACACCACCACTGCCCCATAGAGGCCATTCCCACCCCACATCACCCAACTGCTGCCCCACAGCCTGCCATTCCCATCCCCACCCCACATCCTCCCCCTAGCTGGGCACCCACACTGCCTTCCATACCCTGTGCCCCCCAAAATCGTCCTCCCACATCGCCCCCAGCCTTCCCCAAGGGTCCTCCCCACAAGCTGTTCCCTGCACACTGCATTCCCCAAAACCTGCCTTAACAACCTGTCTTTTTTTTTTTTCCCCCTCTTTTTTTCTCCTTCCTGTTTAATTGCAGAATTAATTCAGGTTTTAAAAACCTTTAGCTCATCGCCCGGCTTGTTTGTTTTGCTCAGCTTGCTCTGGAGAAATGTCTGCTTTGGAGTATTTTGGCAGAGATGGCTTCTTACACTCTGCAGCTGACAGGGAGACTGTAATTCATGAGCCAATACTACTCCTTAACAATCTTGCTCTCTTACGTGCATAATAATTAAAAAAAAATATTAAGAACCCTGTGGCTGCCTACAAAGATGTAGATGAACTGTGTGCCTCATTTGTGCTGTATGTACAGCTGAAAATCCCTTTTTAATTTGCTCTGTCACAGTTAAATATTACTGCTCGCTCTGCATATAGCATCTTTTATGGCAGTAAGACAAAAAATAATTTGGATAAAAGAAGCACAGAAACAAATTTCCACCCAAATCTCAGTGCAAACAAAACCCCACTCCTAGTTTGTGGTACATAATCAAGGTTTTATGAATTCTAAATCAGCACATATATGTAGGGGTATAATGCAACCCCTGGTTAAAAAAAAAAAAATGATTTTTTAGTGAATTAACAATGTAAGGACACTCAATTACTGAAAAGAAAAAATTTGCCCGAAGAAGTAAATGGAAACTTAAGATGTAGAGGAAACTGTAGCCACCCTCACATCACACCAGACACACGTTGCCCTCCAGATACGTTACGTGGAGATGTGGGGAGATGGAGGTGGGCTGCTGTGCCCGTCCTCCCCAGGGGGGCCTCCCCCCACCACTGCCCGGGAAACCCACCCAAGGGTGATACCTGTCCCCTGCGACTGGCACCGGACAGGCCTTTGTCCTTCCTCTCTCTCTGTCTTCACCCAGCCTCGATCGTCGTGCTGTAGAGTGGTCAAATGACATATGAAATTCAAATCAAATTATCTATTCTCAAAATCATAGAATCACAGAGTGGTTTGGGTTGGAAGGGACCTTAAAGCCCATCCAGTGCCACCCCCTGCCCTGGGCAGGGACACCTCCCACCACACCAGGTTGCTCCAAGCCCCCTCCAACCTGGCCTTGAACCCCTCCAGGGATGGGGCAGCCACAGCTTCTCTGGGCAACCTGGGCCAGGCTCTCACCACCCTCGCAGTGAAAAATTATAAGTGGACTTAATAAATATATTAAACTAGTATATAAAATACATAAATATATCTATTACATATAATATGTATACAAGCAAGCTGGTTCTGGTGAGAAAGGATGGCAGAAAGGGAGCTCTAACTGTTTATCCAAGCTGTGCATCCAAGCTAACCATCAGGGTGAGACCAAAACATTGCATGATGTTATAATTAATGAGTGACCAGGTGTGCAGACGGGGAAGGGAAAGCAGAGGCTGCCCAGCAGCTTGCGGATCGCTCGGGCCACGTCGTGCGTGCTGAACTGAACGCTTCTGCCACTGCCTGCTCATATATTTATCCTCTGCCTCTTGTTTTGTATTTCAGAAGTAGTCCTTTGGGGAGGGAGATCATCTCGCTGTTTGACATTTTGTGGAAATTAGTTTGCGTTTGCTGAGTGCTAAATCTCCATCCCTCGGCTAGGGAATTCAGAAAAGTGCTTTTGCTGGGGACTACGGTCCTGAGGTTGTATTTTCTCCCTATAGAAAAAGAATAAAAGCAGGAGAGTTGTTTCCATCTTCTCTCTTTCTTTTGTCCTTTGAGTTATTACTATTGGCTGTTTCAGGTTAGAGCTAGGTATCTGTGTACATACAGATATATGAGTGTATATATATAAAAAATACCTATCAATCACTGAAATTTTGTTCTTTGAAAGTAGGCCAACAAAAATATCACTTTTTTCTCATCTACTTATGAAATAACTCCAAGGTAAAAGTTCTCAAAATTGCAGTAATTCCCTGCCAAGAAAGTAAAATTTAAGTTTGCAGTAGCCACTTGGGTTCTCACTTCAGTAAGCACAGGAGAAGCGCACACCTATGTGGATTAGAGAGGGCCTTTTGGAGCTGGTTTGGATGGTTAGGTTTGGGGTTGGTGTAAAACGTCCTTATCTTCAAATAAAGGTGCAGTGTCTCTTAATTTTACTGCACAGGCTCTGTGGGTGAGGGTCCTAGAACAGAGGTGGGGTTCCTCACTTCTAGAGGAGTGGTTTTCATACTATATTCAGTCAAGTCCACCTTCAGTGCCTGTTTCATGCAGTATAGCCAAGTTTCTTGGGCAACCAGCCCACTGAAGTGGGCTAAAGCTTGAGGTCCATGTGTTCCTTCTATCTCATTGTCTTGCCAAGAATCATTTACCCAAGTGATTTACAGAATTACAGTCAGGGAGGTTCTGGTATCGAAGGGGTTTGGAGGTGCACGTGGGAGATGCTCGGGCACAGGGCAGAGTTTTTTGCTGGTTGCCCCATAAGACCAGCCTGGGTACAAAATGCTGTGGGGACGGGATGTGACAGAGCAGGGAGCGAAGCTCCAGCGCCTGCGAGAGACAAAGAGCAAGAAGAGTTGTTCATTACACAGGTTATAGGTTATCTTGTGAAATTATCAGGCATTAAGCCGAAAATAAAGCTTCAGGGGGGAGTTAGTCGCATAGCGCATAATTAAGTTGTGGGAGTCACTCCCCCACAGACTGCTGCAGAAACCAAACTAAACGTAGTTTCCAAAGGCCTGGAGTTTGCCTAGTGGAAATAGTTTGTCAGGAGAAATAGATCCAGTGATGGGAATTAAACACGGTGTGATTGCCTTTACACCCCGAGCAGCTGTGGGGAACTGTTAGCAGGAAAACCTCCCTATTTTCTTTCTGTTCTCGTAGCCTTTTCCTAAACTTTTTTACTGCTTTCTAACTGAGAATATTTCCTTTTCAGGCTATTTTCTAGAAATATCCTCCCAAGGGTATTTTCTCACACACGGTTGTCCCCGTGACCAGGCTCCCCCGACCCCAGCCGGGCATCGCTCCGCTCGTGCGCACCGGTGTGTGTCCGTGCTCTGGGCAGCCCTGATGCTGCACCCCGAAATGGGACCCCAAACACACCCCGAGAGGGACATATATTCAGATCGCTTCGCTTGTATATTTCTCTGAAAATATATTTTCCTTAAGATACACTCAGTGCTTTCTATCTCAGAAAGTGAAAAACAAGGGCCAGGAGCAATTCTCAGCTGCAATTCAAATTCAGGCAGAAAAGGGAGAATTTTATAAGTTTATGCCTTTTCCCTGTACAGCTGACCTACATAACCCTCGTGTGTCCAGCCCTGGGGACACCAATGTATTTTCTAGGCAGTCCAGGTCTAACTCCATCCAGCCATCCTCTCTATCTGGGTATTTTAAGTCCTCCTATACCAGTACAGTACCTGCATTTTTAGGAGCAGATGGAAGACAAATAACATTAAGAATAGGGAATTTTTCTAACCCCAAACGGTTGTTCAGTAGAAAAGGAAATTCTTTGACAAGACAGTCACAACTCAAAGGAATAGAAATCAGGTAGAGATGCAAACTTTGATTTGCACCTATATATTTGAAGCTGCTAATTGTGCCCTCTGGGAGCTGAGGCTTTTGAAAACACCATTTCTTTATACATACATGAAATAATTCCTGAATATTTCAAACACACTCTTTCTGTCTAAAGTAAACATATGTTGATCAGTTATTTCTAGAATAATATGCCATCTGCTATTTGACAACGCGTTCCTCCGAGTATAGTGATTAGTGGTGGGTGAAAGAGGGGAAACCATTTTCTATGAAATTTTGTGCCCTTGCAGACATTTTGTGCGAGAGGTTGTTTAATCCAACCCACGGCCCTGAGGAAAGAACAGCCTGCCAGATGTTTTCTAACCTCTGCTTGCAAACAGCCACCGGTGGACACACTAGCCTGCCCCCCACCCCGCCTCGCCAGCTGCAAAATTTAAAAGGCTTTACCCATTCTGAATCATTCCTGTTGAAAATGAAGTTTGCAATTTTTTTTTCCCAGATTGTTGTATTAAAATATTATTGCAGGGATAATCGGGTGGGAGCCATAATTTCATCTCATCACATCTCCTCAAGTCCTACCCTGAGGACCCACCTGGGCTTGAGCATGCCAAAAATAAAGTCCCATACACCATCCCAGTACATGGGATACACCCTGTTCCTCACTCCTGAAGCAAGATGGCTTTAAATAGAGTTTTTAGCCTGATTTAGTTCCATCCACCAGTGTTGACCTGCTCATGTGAAGCCCGCTGTTGCTGGACAAGCCCTCCCTGCCAGGAACTCAGAGGGTTCCCCAAACCACCTTCCCAGCAATCTTCCAGTCGTGTGATGGAACAGTCTGCTCCCTGATCTGGGAGAAAGATCAGAGCTGCCAGTGTTTTACAAGTCAAACCCTTTGCACTTTATCTCAGATTAATCTGATGCCTGATTTAGGCAAAAATCTAGTCATTCTTTGGTAGGAAGGAATGAATAAAATACAATTGGAAGAATGTTGAAACAAAAATTCAATTCCAACTGAACA